GGTATCTGGGTGGCGGAAGGGCCGCGGGCCAGACCGCCTGCAAGTCCCGGGGCCGCCAGCAGTCCGGCCACATGGAGTCCCGTGCAGCGGGGGGGGCAGGAGAACAGGGAGGCGGGGGTCACGCAGCCCAGTCACGATCTGACCCACAGCCAATGTCCTGTCTCTCCTGCAGTTTACCAGCTGCTGCGGGGGCTGCCCTCCAGGCCCAGCCTGAGCAATGGGGTCGTCCCACACAGGAGAGGCTACGCCACCTCCCCCTCATCCCCCAAGAGGGAGCTCCTACCTGGAAAAAGGTGATGCACTGGTCCACCAGGGGGCGCTGCCCCTTTTAGGAAATAGCAAGGGGGGCGCGGAATCACGTCCACAAGTTTCAGAGTGATGGTTGCTGCTGTTTTGAATGCACCATTAGTCTTTTGCAACACAGGAAGTTCCTGAGTCAAAAATGCATGGCATAAATTGTGTGTGTGTGTGTGTGTAAATCACTAGACTTGGTGGGATTTCTAGTTTCAGGTAGAAATTTAAAGTCTGAGGGGGGTTGTCAGCACTTTGACTTTTCTTAGAGCCCTCTTCCTAAGGGTTGAACTGATCAATGTTTTTAATGTTTTTCAGTTTTGAAAAACATTTTGAAGGGTATAAATTCCTCCCAAGAAGTTGAAATGCAGCAGAAATATAATCTACGTAGAATCAGGCTTTACTGTATTCCTTTCTGATGAAAGTTAAGGCAACATAGCTGAGTTGTAAGTCGCCAAATGCAATATTGTTACCTTCAATATGCAAAAAAATGTTCTAACTCCTCAATAGTCTCTGTCACTGGGAACATTATTTCTTAAGGAAAAAAAAACAAGGAAGAGGAATTGGGGTTAGCGAATGCAATTTGGGTTTCCCACGCAGATGAACGGGGTTAAGGAACATTCCTTTTTCCAATTTGAAGAGATCTAAGCACTCTGCGAGAGTACAAGAGGTTTGCACAACGCACTTGGAAGTCACAAAAACCCAGAAACTTTCCTACAAGTCATGCTGGCGTCTCATCCAACCTGGCCGTATCTTAGAGACAGACTGATGCGTTTCCATCTCTGTCTTTGTCTCACAAGAGAGGGTTTCCAGCAGCAGGGGCTCTGGGGATCAGCAGAGCCGTAAACAAACACTGCTGCTGAATCTTCCTATTCAAAAGCAGTTCCTAAACTCTTGCCTTTTCACTCAGTCGAAAAAAAAGGTAGGATTTTTTTTTTCTTGAAAGACCTGTACTTGATGGAGAAAGAGATTTGCTTTCAGGTTCCCCACCTCTGTACTTTTGCTCACTAAAAACAAGGGGTGCAAACAATAGAACAGACACTCAAGATGCTGGTTTTTAAAGTCCCTCGGAATGAGACAGCTTGTACCGAGCCAGCACAAGGTCCTGTCCCTTGGCACCTTTTCCCAGCCATGGGGGGTCAGCCAGACAGTTGCCAGACAGCAGCTAGAATTCAGAGGCAGAGAGGCTCCATTTGAAGGACGTGCCTTGTTTAAAATACTTTTCTTAATACGTTTAAATGGGTTATTATGGTTATAAGCATGCCTTGTTATTTTGAAAGCAGCGCTTCCCAAATCTGGGTGAATTACCCAAAATTGGGTAAAAGTGGTTTTTCTTTGGGTAACAACACATGAATCCTTGCCCAATCACAACAGGGAGATTACCACAACGTATACTAAAATATATTCAAAAATCTCCCAAAGTGTTCCTATTAAGATGAAAATCAATGAAATTACCAATGGTAATTTGTTGAAATGACAAGGAACATTCAATGATATTGTTTTTATAATGCAGGTAGTCCTCGAGTTACAACCATTCATTCAGTAACCGTTCGAAGTTACAACGGTGCTGAAAAAAATGGACTTACAAGTGGTCCCCGAAGTTACGGCCGTTGCAGCACCCCCATGGTCACGTGAACAAAATTTGGGTACTTGGCAACCAGCTTGCACTTATGAGCGGTTGCAACGTCCTGCGGTCATGTGATCACCTTTTGAAACCTTCCCTGCTGTTTTCCCACAAGCAAAGTCAATGGAGAAGCCGGCAGGGGAGGTTGCAAGTCACTTGGGTAAGTCTCCCCACCCACCCTGGCCTTTCTTCGCTCGCACGCACTGTGCCCTCCTTCCCTGCTTTGCTCCCTCGCACGCACCCACCCACCAGGCTTTGGGTAATGAAGGAAAAAGTTTGGGAAACACTGTTTTAGAGGAAGATTCTGTGCTTCCAGGAAGCACTAGACCGGTTTTTTCAACCTTGGCCCTTTAAGATGTATGGACTTCAACTCCCAGCATGGCCAGCTGGGGAATTCTGGGCGTGGAAGTCCACCCACCTTAAAGTGGCCAAGGTTGAGAAACACCACACTAAACTGAAGAGATGCCACCTGCCATAAAGTTAGCAGTTTAAAGAATAACGTTTTTATTCGAGAAGAAAATGTGGCCATCCATGGTGGCTCTTGTTAGACTTGGGGCAAGCCTTTGTCTTTTTGGGGGGCAGGGTAGCAATCATACATTTACCTCTTCACACCAAGTGTGGGGCGGGGGACAGCAGGGTGGTTAGGTGAATCAGAGGGGACTCCCCTTGACTCTCCATGGAATCGTGAAGTGGCTTTTGACCCGCATTTCGCCCACCCGCCACTCTGCTTCCTGTGACGCCCCTCCCTGCCTGCTGCTGCTGCTGTGACGCTAACCTCTCCAGGGGCTGGGTAGCAGGGGGAATACTGTAACCCCTCCTCGATGGCGCAGGGCATACGTGAGACTGATCGCTGGGCTTCTTCCCCGAAGGGTACCGGGGTGAACCGAAGGCGCTCTCCAGTTGCAGGGGAGGCAGGCAGGCAGGCCTTGCTCTGAGCTCAGGGAGCCAACAGCAAGGGCTGCTTGCCTCGCCTGAGTCCGCTGGACTGATCAGCTCCGCGGGCCTTAGTTGTGTCACTGCAGAGCCACGTCCTCGCTCCCACTTCCAGCCCCGCCGGGGAGAACGCGGTGTGCACAGAGTCCTGTTCTGCAACAGGCTTGGAGCGTAGGGCTCCCTGGGTTGGGGGAGGAAAGGGAGCAACCCCTCGTGGCCCGCCGGCCCGTTAGGAGACATCAGAGCTCTGCCAGGCCAACTCTCTCCTCTTCCACCCCCACCAGGGGAAGAGGGCCAGACCCACGACCGAAGGCCGCTGCGGCTGCGGCTGCAGCCCCTCTCAGCGCTTGGCTCTTTTGCCTTTGGCTGCTGCCAGCAGCTTTCCCAGGGCCTCTGCTCCAGCTCTAGCGCTCCAGCTCGAAAGGAGCTTCCAGGCTTCTCAGCAAACTCCTCGCTTGCTTCCGCCCCCGCCCCCGCTCTTTCCGCATCGCCCATCTCCCCGGCTATCTCGCCCTTCCTCCCGCCCCGCACCTTGTCTGGCTATCTCGCTCAGGCTCTCTCTCCTACAGCGGGCACAGTAGCTGCCCCTCTCCGGAGCACCCCGCCTCGCTCAAGCGCGAGAGTCTCAAGGACCAGAGGAGCCGGACAACGTCCTCCAGCAGCTCCTGCAGTGGGCAACGCGAAGGGTATGTCTGCACAGGCCGCTCTCCCAGAAGCTCCAGCCGAGCCCCGCGCTTATCCTGCCCCTCCGCTGCCGAGCCAAGGTGGAGCCAATGCTAAGACGCGCGGAACAGCATTCTGGGCTACAGAGCCAGCTAGCCGTTCTCGGCTCAGAGTCTCAGGCTCTTTACTCGGCTCGGGGGCTGTAGCGGGGCAGCCTTGGCACGACCCGCCCATCCCGCTTTGCAGGGCAGCTGCGACCTTGCAAGGCAGGCCTTCCTTTAGTCCAAGCCAGCTCCGGTCAACAAGAGTCATCTTAATGCTTACAACCGGCAACAACTCGGGCCAAGAAAGTGTGCAGATAACCGGGTAGGCAGGTGTTCAAGCAAGGGGAGGGAGGCGAGCGATTCAGTCTCACATAAGCAGGCAATTCCTCTCCAAAAGTTTACCATCTCCACGCAAGACCGCGCAGCCCCACCGAGCAGCAGCCAAATTCACACAAGTTGTGAGTCTCGCGTGTGTTAGGTGCCCCCATAATTTCTCCAGGGGAACTTCATCCATTAGCGGATCAGGGCAGCCGGGGGCCAGCGGGGCTGCGCGTCGGCGTGCACAGCCTTGGGAAATAATGCGGGTTGCTTGCTGCCGAGCATTGGTGCCCTTCCCGGACACAAACGCGCTCCCCGCAACCCGAGGTTGGTCCTACGGGGCCGGAACGGAATTAAACTCGCGCACTGCGACCCTCAAAGGCCTGC